GTGCTTCTCAGCCTCTTGGGGCCTCTTGGGGGCCTCTTGGGGCCTCTTGGGGCCTCTTGGGGGCCTCTTGGGGGCCTCTTGGGGGCCTCTTGGGGCCGCTTGGGGGCCTCTTGGGGGCCTCTTGGAGGCCTCTTGGGAGCCTCCTGGGGGCCTCTTGGGGCCATCTTGGGGCCTCTTGCGACCTCCTCAAAAGCGCAAATGAGAGCTGCCCCCTGAGAAGGACAAAATGAGCCGAAAACCTTCGTAAAATCAATGATTTTGCTGTGAAGGAAGATGAGCGCGGCCCCCTCAGGACGCCAAAATGGGGCCAAAACCGTAGTACAATCAATGATTCTGGCTTTAAAGAAGAGGAGGGGGACCAGACGGTGCCCCCCCGTCGGGGCCAGAATCCTCGTGAGGGTCGTCGTTTTTTTAGCCCTCCCAGGAGTCGAAAAAGACCCCTCAAACGACCCGCGGGGCGCCCTCTCCAGGCCCAGGGGGAGGGGGTAGGGGGAGGGGTAAACCCCTCCCCGAAGGGGAAGAAGGGGGGTTGAGAACAGAGCGGGCTCCCTAAACCACTCACGCCCAAAGGGCTGGTGGGATTGATAAGGAGCAGTGATCAAACCCGAAGGGCGGCCGTAAGCCCTCGCGTTCCGCCCTCCCACCACATGATTAAAAGCCGAGTACCACCAGCCCTTGGAGGGCCTCTTGGAGCCTCGTGGGGCCTCTTGGGGGCCTCTTGGGGGCCTCTTGGGGGCCTCTTGGGGGCCTCTTGGGGCCTCTTGGGGCCTCTTGGGGGCCTCTTGGGGGCCTCTTGGGGGCCTCTTGGGGCCGCTTGGGGGGCCTCTTGCCCTGACTCTTACTCCGACTCGTGCAGTTCGCCTTACTCTTACTCTGACTCTTACTCTCACCGTTACTCTTGCTCTGACTCTTCCTCCTCCTCCTCTTCCCTTCTTCCTCGTCCCCCTTGATCTCGCCTCCCAGCTAGGAGCTCTGGTGTTTCCTCGGTCGTGCTTCGTTTTCTTTTGGTCGTGTAGCGTTCCTGACAGTCCAAGACCAGCTCGTCGTCGCCAGTCGCCAGTCGCCTGTCGACCGCCCTCCAGACGCTGTCTCAGATGATGTGGCTCGCCGTGGATGGTCCGTCTGGGCATGGGCGTACGGTGCCGACGCTCGACCATGCGGACCTCGTCCTGGCTCAGAACCACCGCATCGCAGGTCCTTCGGAGGTCAATTGTTATGAGTTCGGCACGGTCTCGGTCAAGTACAGCGTGCTGTGGGGATCCCGAGATGGGGCCTGGCTCAAGGTGCTCAAGACGTACTGGAGTGTCCCAGAGCCGGAGTGCCAGCTGATCCTCGGGAGTTGGAACGGCATTTTCAGGCCGTGGCCGGACACGTTCTGGATCAGGACGGGGGGGTCCGAGCCCGAGATAGATGCTAGCGCTCTGCAGTACAAGTGCTTTTCAGCATGCGACATCCTGCGGTGCTTCTCAGCCTGCAGGGTTCGCAGCGTGCGGTTTGCAATGCATTCCTTTTCAGTATGCGAGTTCCTGCGGTGTTTCTCAGGTTGCAGGGCTCCGAGGCTCTTCGCTTCGATACCAATGTTTTCGGACACCGTAGCTCCGTTCCGTAAACATCTTCCAAGAGCCGCTCGCAACCTTTTGCAGATGGCGGTCTGCAGACGTAGTCTGTCTCAGCATGCGAGCTCCCGCACGCTTCGCCGGCTTTTGCTGCGCGGACAATTTTCTCACACACGTCAGCGCCGTTTGTAGGCGTCAGAAAAACATGTAGACATTCACGAAGGGCTCAGTCTGTATATCGTCACATCATTACATACGCAGTCGTCGAACACATCGGTGTACATTCAGCGCTTTGTCCTTCTAGCTGGGTCGCTTCGTGCTGAGGCTGAGGCTGATGCAGGCTGAGGCTGAGGCAGGCTGAGGCTGAGGCCGAGGCCGACGGCAGACTGAGGCTGAGGCTGAAGCAGGCTGAGGCTGAGGCAGAGGCAGGCTGAGGCTGAGGCTGAGGCAGGCTGATGCTGAGGCAGGCTGAGGCTGAGGCTGAGGCTGATGCAGGCTGAGGCTGAGGCAGGCTGAGGCTGAGGCCGAGGCTGAAGGCAGACTGAGGCTGAGGCTGAAGCAGGCTGAGGCTGAGGCTGAGGCAGGCTGAGGCTGAGGCTGAGGCAGGCTGAGGCTGAGGCTGTGACTGCGACTGCCGTTGCCACTGCGACTGTCATCGCGAATGCGACTACGACTGCGAGAACAGCAGAATTCTACAACTGGATTCTCATCCGAATCTTAAGGGGAATGCTTCCAGATATGTTCCTACACATGGCTGTTAGGTTGCTTTGCCGGGATAATTTCAACAAAAAGCACGCCCATCTCGAATGCGCGTTGAAGCGGGTCCAACGGCCCAAATTTTAAAGTTCGGGGCGGTCGACGCGGGGGAGTGCGAGTCGTTCCGAAGAAAACGCCCACATTTGCAAACAGCGGCCTGCTCCCTTAGATGAACATTGAAATTGGGGGCGCGGGGAACGCTCTTGCGCCATCTTCTAGGCGTTGCACTTCGGCGTTTCTTTCTTCCGAAACGCCTGCATTTCTGGATTCCCAGAACCCAATATACGTCAGGCGCCTTCCTGCTTCAAGAACCGATATGCTTTCGCTGCGTTGTGTTACTTTCCAGGCGGACCCGAACCCCATTTGCTTTATCTGCCTTCCTACTTCATGCTTCGCTCACTCCGCCGGCCCGTATTGTGCCCTCGCTGGCGTTTGGGTTTTTGGGGGCCTTTTGGGGTGCTCGTTGGGGGCTTTTGGGGGGCCTCTTGGGTTTCTGTTGGAGCCTCTTTGGGGTTTCTTGGAGCTCCTTTGGAAGCATTTGGGAGCATCTTGGGGCTTCTGGGAGCCGCTTGGGAGCCGCTTGGGAGCTTGTTGGGGGCCTCGTGAGGGCCTTTTGGGAGCCTCCTGGGGTTTCAAAGGGGCCTCTTGGCGCCTCCTGGGGTCTTCTTAGGGCCGAGGGCTCGAAATGTTGTTTCGTCTTCCCCCTTTGGGGCTTCTCTTAGAGCGTTCTTGGGGCCCTCTTGGTCCGTCTTGGAGGCCTCTTGGGCCGTCTTGTAACCCTCTTGGGCCGCCTTGGGGCCCTGTCGGAGTCCTCTCGGGCCTCTTAGGGCGATCTTGGGGGCCTCTTTGGCCGTTTTGGGGCGTCGCGATGCCGAAAAGATGGAGACGGCCAAATCTCACCGAAATCTAAGGAAAAAACAAAGCATTGTGCCTCTTGGGGCCCTCTTGGGAGTGCTCTTGAAAGCCTCGTGGGGCGTCTGGGGGCTATCTCGAGAGCCTTCTGGGGGCCTCCTGGGGCTTGAAAGGGGCCTCTTGGCGCCTCCTCGGGGCTTCTTAGGGCCGAGGGCTCGAAATGTTGTTTCGTGTTCCCCCTCTGGGGCTTCTCTCAGAGCGTTCTTGGGGCCCTCTTGGGCCGTCTTGGCTGCCTCTTGGGCCGTCTTGGAACCCTCTTGGGCCGGCCGTCTTGGGGCCCTGTCGAAGGCCTCTCGGTCCTCTTAGGGCGATCTTGGGGGCCTTTTGGGCCGTCTTGGGGCGTCGCGATGCCGAAAAGGTGGAGACGCCAAATCTCCCCAAAGCCTAAGGAAAAACAATGAAGTTTGCCTCTTGGGGCCCTCTTGGGAGTGCTCTTGAAAGCCTCGTGGGGCGTCTGGGGGCTATCTCGAGGGCCTTTTGGAGGCCTCCTGGGGCTTGAAAGGGGCCTCTTGGCGCCTCCTCGGGGCTAGGGCCGAGGGCTCGAAATGTTGTTTCGTGTTCCCCCTCTGGGGCTTCTCTCAGAGCGTTCTTGGGGTCCTCTTGGGCCGTCTTGGAGGCCTCTTGGGCCGTCTTGGAACCCTCTTGGGCCGTCTTGGGGCCCTGTCGGAGGCCTCTCGGGCCTCTTAGGGCGATCTTGGGGGCCTTTTGGGCCGTCTTGGGGCGTCGCGATGCCGAAAAGGTGGAGACGCCAAAATCTCCCCAAAACCTAAGGAATAACAATGAATGTTGCTTCTTGGGGCCCTCTTGGGAGTCTCTTGGGGCTCCTTGGCGGCGTCTTGGGTGCCCCCAGGGCCTCTTGGGAGGCTCTTGGAGGCCTCTTAGGGCGGGAGGGGGGGTAGTCGATTGCGGCTCTCCCCTCGGAGGCCACTATCCTCGGGAGGGGTGTCGAAAAATGGCCCTCCCCTGGAGTGCTCTGGTGGCTCCTCCCGGGACCTTGCCAGGGTACTTTTCGTCTGGGGACCCCCAGGGGCCGCCCCGCGCGCGCGAACTAGAAATATTGTGAACCAGTTACCGCAGATCTTAGCACGCCTCTGGCCCGCTGGGCCGGCGAATTTACTTCTTCCGACCGGTGGGAAAAGGAAGCGGACCTCAGAGGGCCCGCTCGGGCGGCGGCCGCGCGCGCGGGCGTTGCAGCGGGAGCTGTCAGGCAGAACTGCGCACCATTTTTCATTATATATATACATACATACATACATACACATATATATATATATATATATATATGTGTATATATGTATGTGTATAAGTATAGATGTATACATATACACATACATGTATACACATATGTATATCGAACCCCTGCAGACAAGTAGGCCGTTGTTTGTTTCTTTTCAGGACCGCCGGAAGGCCGATGGGCATTCGGGACCCGCGGTCGAAGAAAGCACGCACGTGGCCGCCGAGCCTGCCCCTGGGCTGGCCCCTCCGTGCCGAGTGGTCCCCCAATCTCAATCCTCCCCCCCGGGCCTCGATCCTCGATCCTCCTCGGCAGCACTCGCCCCCTGCTCCTCCTCGACCCTCGGTGGTCCCTCTCGGCCCTCCTCCGCCTCCTCGACCCTCCTACGCGATCTTCCTGATCGACCCTCCTCCTCCTGCTCCTCCTGCCCCTCCTCGATCCCAGCTCCTCCTCCCGCTCCTCCTGATCGACCCCCCACTCCTCGATCCTCGGGGCGACGACGCGCACGAGGGGCGTCGACGCGCCCGCGGCCCCGCGGCGAGGCCACGGCGGCGCGAACGCTCCAGGTGCTCCAGCAGGCACGCCCCGCGCGCGCCCCGCAGAGGGGGGGACTGGTCGGGTCCAGTCGGGCATGTCCCTCTACAGGAGGAGTAGATCTATATCTTTGTATCTATCTCTCTCTATATATATGTGTAGTCAAAGAATAGTCAGACATAGTCTGGGGGCGGTCCTCCTGTCATGTTGTTTTTGAGCATTTCTCAGCATGGTTTTCGGTTGCTTTTCATTTCTCTTCCAAGATCCGCCTGTAGAAAGGACACGCCCGACCCGATGCTCAGGGCGCCCCCCGCCACGTGTGGGGGTGGCGCCGGGCGGGCTCGCTGTCGCCGGGGGCGCGGCGACGCACTCCCCCGCGCGGCGCCACCGCCCCGCGCCGGCTGCGCCCCACGCTCCGCCAGCAGTGTCGCTCCTCCGCTCCTCCTCCTCCTCCTCCTCCCTCTTCCTCCTCCTCCTCCTCCTCCTCCTCCTCCTCCTCTTCCTCCTCCTCCTCCTGGGATTCAGATCCAGAGCGTTTGCGAAGCAAGCGACAGGAGCAGGGGAGCGAAGAATTGCATAAACATAAAAAAACACGGAGGTCCGCGCGGATTTCTCGGATCCGCGCTGGACCCCCTGGCGGCGCCTCCAGCGCCGCCCCTGGAGCCCGCTCCGCGCGCCAGGGAGGGGGGTCCAGCGCAGATCCGAGAAATCCGCGCGGACCTCGGAGTTTTTTATGTTTGTGTCATTCTTCGTTCCCCTAAGGAATCACCTGGTAGCAAGGCCCCGCACGAAGCGCGAGAGATATGATACGGCTCTTCTTCTCAGTGCCCCGGAGGGCCTGCAGGGACTTCGCGAGGCTTCGCAACTGCATGGGCCCGAAGAGCCCGCAAGACTTGCAGATGCATACGCGCGCAAGAAGGGGAGGAGGATGCGCTATGGAGCGCCAGCGCATCATGATGCTTGCCACCACGGTGGGTGGAGGTTTCTGGTACTTATGTGCTTGGCCAGGAGGACAAAACGAAGACTCTGGTCGCTCTGGGGCAAGCGCCTCCAGAGATGAACGACATAACATGCACAGTTCCAGAGGTCTGTGCGGATTTCTTGAATCGGCGCCGGACCCCCGTCCCGCACCGCGCCTATGGCGCCGCGCCCAGTGCGTTCCGCGCGCCAGGGGAGGGGTGAAGGGACGGGGTCCAGCGCCGACCTGGCCCACGAAATCAGTGCAGACCTGCGAAGGCGTGCGCCAATGTAATCTTCAAGCATGTTCCCGAAGCGGCGCTTGCATTCAGACACCTTTATGCCTTCTGAAGAGCTGAGCCGTGTCTGTCGGTCTGGCGTCTGTGTGGCCGCCGTCGCCGCCTCGTAGCCGCCCGTCGTCTGGGCCGTGCCTGTCGGTCTGGCGGCTATGTGGCGCCTCGTCGTCGCCCAAGGTTGCACAACATGAACTGGCGAGATGGATAACCTGGCGCCGCCAGGCTGGCCCAGACTGGAATCCACCAGGGGCCCAGCCTGGCAAGAGCGCCGCCCAACAATTGCACAAGCAACGAGGGTGGAAGAGGGTGGATTTCGAGCCCGACCCAACCGCCTGCCCTGCAGCGCGCACCCTGGGAAGCAGCTGCAGTGCCAGGATTGCGCGGCACAGCTCCTGCGACGCCACCGTTCGGAACCATTCCAGCTCCTTTTAAAAAGAGCGTAGACTTTACATATGGTGCTGCCCCATCGCCCATCCTAAATCTAAATTTTTACCATGCCAGAGAGGCGGGTATCGACCCCCCCCGTCATCTTCTGGAAGAGTTTTAATGCGCGCGCACTCGTTCATCACAAATCATAAGTGTTCAAGAATCCCTTGCAACAAACACGGGACGCAGTGCGCACGCGCGCGTCGTCGCGTGCGCATGACGACATGTCTCAAACACTGTAGCTTTCGTAAGGAATTCAAAATCGAGTGTCCAAAAAACATACAAACGACACGTGGTTTCGCAACACGGATTTTCAAAAACACAAAAGCGTGCTCGCGCGTTCGTGCGAATTCTGCAGAAAATCATCGGTTTTCAACATTTACAAAACATGTTGCCAAACGGGCTTCGCGCGCGCGCATGCCGAAATCGTTCGAGCGCCCTTGCGCGCGTGCCGTCGCGAGAATCCTTTTGCAAACAACTGACGAAGTGCACGCGCGCGCGTCATCGCGCGTGCAAGCCGAAAAATGTTTGATACCCTGCGGTTTCGTAGCGATTCCAAAACCGAATGTGAAAACATATAAGCACATGGCTTCGCAGCATTCGTTTTCAAAAAAGCGTGCTGTCGCGCTCCTGCGCATTCTTTAGAAAACCACCGGTTTTTCAACATGTTAAATTCTGCCAAACAGGCCTCTAGCGCCGCATGCCGACATCATTCGCAAGCCTTTGCGCGCGTGCTGGAGGGGGGGCACGATCCGTGTCAAATAAAATCATGCGGGTCACTCTCGCGCGTCTGCCGCGCGCGCATGTCGAGCTCTTTCCAAAACCTACATCACCGACGCGAGGACGCCGCCATCGTCGTCGGCGTGATCAGCATCGGCGCCCGCCCTGGCCACGCCTTCGTCGGTGTCCGCATCGTCACCAGCACCGCTGCTATCAGCATCGTGTCTACCGTTGTCGACGTTGCCATGATACCGCGCCCGCTCAAGTCGCCGACTCGCAGTGAAGTGCCCGCTGGGATGTGCCCAGCGGTCAGCGCCACCGCGGCTGCGTCGGCCGCGCCAAACTAGCTAGCCGCTGCGCGCGCGTGCTAGGGGTGGCGCGGCCGCTGAGATGCACCAGCCAACGCCGAGCATGCATCGCAATCGCCACCTCATGGGTTTGCAAACCGAACTGCGTGTGGGCGGGCGGGATGTTTGCAAGTGCGTGATACCGTTGGTTTGTTAAGTTTTTCTTGCTGTGTCAAATTACCCCGGCGACGCACCTAACCCTTGCGCAATGCGGGGGAGGAGTAGCTTGGGAGATTGGACGAGAAGCGGCGACGTGACGTGGGCGCATATATTTCAGCGAGCGGCATTCGGAAGGTTCGCAGGCCCCCAGTCAAGGGAAGCACGATGAGTAACGTCGCGGGTCCCTGGGTCACCAAGGAGGACGAAAGATCCAAAGGGAGACGGCGGGCAAGGGGCTTGAAACGTCGGCGGGACAACAACAACAACATGGCATGGCCCCCCGAGGACAGCGAGGCCCCGCCCAGGTCTGCGCAGTGCCTCATTCCGCTGGGCCCACCAGCAGCATTCGAAACTGGCGAGCCCACCAGCAGCCCTCGAGAGTGGCGACAGTGTCGCAGATCGCAGCCCCCCGGGGACGGGGAGGTCCCGCTCGGACCCGCGCGGCGCCTCACTCCGCTGGACCCGCCAGCAGCCTTCGAAAGTGGCGACGCTTTCGCGAGACGCAGCCCCCCAGGGACGGGGATGTCCACTCAGATCCGCGCGGTGCCTCACTCCGCTGGACCCGCCAGCAGCCTTCGAAAGTGGCGACAGTGGCGCAGATCGCAGCCACCCAGGGACGGGAAATCCCGCTCGGATCCGCGCGCTGCCTCACTCCGCTGGGCCCGCCAGAGCCTTCGAAAGTGGCGATACTTCTGCAGATCACAGCCTCCCCAGGGATCTGGAAATCCCGTTCAGATTCGCGCGGTGTTTCACTCCGCTGGACCCACCAGCAGCCCTCGAAAGTGGCGATGCGTCCGCAAATCACAGCCCCCCCAGGGACGGCGAGGTCCCGCTCAGATCCCCGCGGTGCCTCAGCCCGCAGGACCCACTGGCAGCCCTCGAAAGTGGCGACAGCGTCGCAGATCGCAGCCCCCCCAGGGACGGCGAGGTTCCGCTCAGGTCCCCGCGGTGCCCCACCCCACTGGACCCACCAGCAGCCATCGAAAGTGGCGACAGCGTCGCAGATCGTACCCCCCAGGGGACGGCGAGGTCTCGCTCAGATCTCCGTGGTGCCTCAGTCCGCAGGACGCGACTGCAGCCTTCGAAAATGGCAACACAGGGACGGCGAGGTCCCGCTCAGATCCCCGCGGTGCTTCAGCCCGCAGGGCCCACCAGCAGCCCTCGAAAGCGGACCGAGGCACCGCTCAGATTCCCGCGGTGCCCCAGTCCGCAGGACCCACCAGCAGCCCTCGAAAGTGGCGACGGCGTCGCAGATCGCAGCCCCCCAGGGACGGCGAGGTCCCGCTCATATCCCCGCCGTGTTTCACTCCGCTGGACCCACCAGCAGCCCTCGAAAGTGGCGTCAGTGTCACGGATTTCGGCCCCCCAGGGACGGCGAGGTCCCGCTCAGATCCCCGCGGTGCCTCAGTCCGCAGGGCCCGCCAGCAGCCCTCGAAAGTGGCGACAATGTCGCAGATCGCAGCCCCCCAGGGACGGCGAGGTCCCGCTCAGATCCCCGCGGTGCCTCAGTCCGCAGGACCCGCCAGCAGCCCTCGAAAGTGGCGACCGCGTCGCAGATCGCAGCCCCCCAAGGAGGCGGGATCCCCGCGGTGCCTCAGGACCCACCAGCAGCCCTCGAAAGTGGCGACATTGTCGCAGATCGCAGCACCCCAGGGACGGCGAGGTCTCGCTCAGATCTCCGCGGTGCTTCAGCCCGCAGTACCCGCCAGCAGCCCTCGAAAGCCGCGACAGCGTCGCAGATCGATGCCCCCCAGGGATGGCGAGGTCCCGTTCAGATCCCCGCGGTGCCTCAGCCCGCAGGACCCACTAGCAGCCTTCGAAAGTGGCGTCGGCGTCGCAGATCGCAGCCCCCCAGGGACGGCGAGGTGCCGCTCAGATCCCCGCGGTGCCTCAGTCCGCAGGGCCCGCCAGGAACTCTCGAAAGTGGCGACAGCGTCGCAGATCGCAGCCCCCCAAGAACGGCGAGGTCCCGCTCAGATCCCCGAGGCGCCCCAGTCCGCAGAACCCGCCAGCAGCCTTCGAAAGCGGCGACAGCGTCGCAGATCGCAGCCCCCCAGGGACGGCGAGGTCCCGCTTAGATCCCCGCGGTGCCTCAGCCCGCAGGACCCACCAGCAGCCCTCGAAAGTGGCGACAGTGTC